TCAGGGGTCCCCAACCTCCATAATCTACTGTCTGATCTGATGTGGAGCTGATGTAATCATAATAGAAATAAATGCACAATAAATGCAACACGCTTGAATCATCCTGAAACTGTCAAACCCCTGTCCCTGGTCGTGGAAAAATTGTCTTCTACAAAACTGGTCCCTGGTGCCAAAAAGGTTGGGGTCCGCTGCTTTACAGAAAGAGCCATGCTAGATTCCATCTGCAGCCCTGAAGGCCGGAGGAGATCCGGGGCTGTCGGCTCCTCCCAGCTTTTCTCTGCAGCCGCAGCTCCTCCTGCTCTGCAGCCCCTAACACACCTGGAAGGAGATCCTCCTACCCCAGGGCTGGTGTTATCCCCTTTGTTTTAGAGCAGCCATCACAGATGAATCCCCAGCAGAATTCTTGTTTATGATCTGTTTATTAAATTTTTTTTGTTAAGGTATGATTGACATGTAAAAGTCCAAACATATTTAATATATACAACTTGATGGGTTCTGGGCTAGGTATAAACCTGTGAAACCCACCATCAAGCCCATACACATGTATCACTTTCCAAAGTTTTCTCTTGCCCTCTTAATTATTATTATCACTATCATCTTCATCATCATTTGGGGAGGATAAGAATAATTTGATAAAGTGTACATTCTTAGGAGATTTTAAGCACACCATGTAGTTTTGTTAGTTACTGTACACTGAACACAGAGGTGTCTCCTCAAGATCCTAATCTGGAATTTTTTTTTTTTTGCATAAATACCCAGAAGTGGAATAGCTGGATCATATAATAGTTCTGTTTTTAATTTTTTGAGGAACCTCCACTCTGGTGTTCATTGCTATAAACTTGTCTTTTTTTTTTTCCATTTATTTTTACTAGTTGGAGGCTAATTACTTTACAATATTGTAGTGGGTTTTGTCATACATTGACATGAATCAGCCATGGATTTACATGTGTTCCCCATCCCGATCCCCCCTCCCACCTCCCTCTCCACCCGATCCCTCTGGGTCTTCCCAGTGCACCAGCCCTGAGCACTTGTCTCATGCATCCAACCTGGGCTGGTGATGTTTCACCATAGATAATATACATGTTTCGATGCTGTTCTCTTGAAACATCCCACCCTCGCCTTCTCCCACAGAGTCCAAAAGTCTGTTCT